TTCTATGATTTTAACATTCATGAAGTCCATGGATGTATAGTGTGGGGTGGATTCTTGTAGGATTATGAGTACTTGTCAGCAAACACTAGATGGCAGCAAAAAATGTTTGTGATTATTTCCGGATCCAGGTATATCCCAGTCTTCTACCCGGTTACCATGACCTCTCTCAGTTATATGGTTTTGCATAAGGAATTGCCTTGAGAGTAATGATAGTTACGCTCTGCTTGACAAAACTACTTGTAGATATTAGTTTAGTGTTATACACACTTGATATACAGTAAATGTGTGCAGTTGAGAGTCAAGTTGTTGTGAATCTTCTTTCCTACTATCCAAATTGCATGCTGTTTTGTTTTCCCAGTGCAATGTTCTTGTAATTTCTCAAGATTACCCTAGTGTTCTGTCTGTCAGTATTAGTCACAAACATTTATACAATAGCTAAAAGCAGGAAAACATCTGTCACAGTTGCATTATCATCATTTCTAATTGAATCTCTGTCCACCCATTTTACTGAACAGTTGTAAGTGGACTGTCTTAACAATTGTGAATGACAAGAGCTCACTAGGATACTGGGAAGTGTGGAACAGAACAAAATGGCTATAATGGTTTCATACTGTACAGATACATGGTGTTCCAATTTAACGGTCTTTAGAAATCTTGCAACCCAGTATGACAAAAATAATGAGACCTAAAAGAAGTCAAATCTTAACAAGGGACATATTAAAATGTAGCCTGGTGAACAAATAGGTACATGCACTTTGTACTGTTTCTACTCCAATTCAAATGCACAGTGTGATCTCATAATGTATACGATTATATGATACACATCTACATTTGATTCCTTGTGTGTGTAATTTTACAGCCTTCAGAAAAATAAATTTCTGCTTGGACGGCTTACTGCGGAGAGGAACTAATTCATGTTAGAAGAAAAAAAGTGGGACTTGAACAATGGAATTGTGCACTGGAAAGCTGGGTTGAAATAACAGACTGTTCATGTTTGTTGAATTTTGAACACATCTTTTCCGAGACAAATTATTCTACTGTGTTCCCACAAAATTGGTTCTAGAGACTAAATCGGAACTGAAAGTCGTCCATGAGAAAGAACAAGTGTGTACTAAATAATATGCAGTCACACACATATGATGTCATCAGTATGCACTTACTAATGAAAAAAGTGATGTAGCCTACATTAAGTGCCCTTGTGATAATCTGCACCAAATGTATTGTATTATAGCCTTAAATTTATTTATTTCAGAGGTATTTTTTGGTGGGGAGCAATCAGGCACAGACCAAACACAGAGTCCTGAAGATTGACCGCACAGAACCCAAGGACCTGGTCATAGTTTTTTTGCTGAAACGGTGCAGTACAGTCTCACACACCTGCATCATTTGTGATGATTTCAGACACTCCCTATTGTACAACTCCAGAAGCACAAAAACAAGCAATCATATAAGATTGGTGCCCAAAATGGCAAAAATAAGATATATGTTTTTATAACCTGGAATTATACTTTAAATGTGCCATATTTAAACAATAAGATCTCACCTTGGCCCTGGACACTAAGTCTTCTTTGCATTTCTCCTCCCTCCTTCTTCCTGCAATGCTTCCAACTATTTTGTGATGTCAGGGAGTTGTGTCTCCACGATGAATGGAGGCCCGTCCCCATGTGCCTTGTCCTCCTCCACCCCCTCCCCCCCCTCCTCCACCTCCATGGTCTTTATCTGACTCTGGCTGGCTCTGGGCTCGCTCAGGCTTGGGGTTGGGTGTGCATGGCGGGTCGGGCTGTTGGACTGACATGGTCCTGCGCAGGTGGGTGCGCTTGCACAGGAAGTCAGGCTTTGCTGAGAGACCAAATGACCCTTTTCTTAGGACCATGCGAACCGAAGGAGATTTCTTGGGTCTGGTTCTGTGCCCAAACTGAAGGGTGGAGAGGTGCGCTGCATAGCCCTCACTCAGGAACTACATACACCAAACAGAGAAAGGGTTAGAAAATCAGAGCACTAAGAAGATTAAGGCAAATGAGAAAAACCAAGGGGAAAATCAAATCCGCTGTGCTAAAATAGAAAGAAACACCATGAAAAACTACTCGAGAAAGAGATAAAAGACACAAATAGAGACTGAATTACCTGGCACTGATTTTGGTACTTCTTTGAAGGCCTGCCAACAATATAAATCTGTGAGGGGCTGAGGCCGAGCATGTTATAAACAGAGATGTCCTTCATGGAGCCATAAGCAGAGTTGATCTTAATGTGACACTGGTGAGAGAGGAAACAATCAGAGACGTGTTTGGCATTTCAATTTACCATGACCCAAGACTACAAACCTGAACTGCAAAAGAGTGAATCGATAGGATAAAAATAGAAATATCACTGTTGGGCAGAGAGCAAAGCATGTTTCATAGGCTTTATAGGAAAGGCTAACAGCAGAGCTAATGTTCGTATGTTGGACACACACTCTCAGAGGAGTACCTCCTGTATGAGGTTCCTGAGGAAGATGGTCTTTTGTCGCAGGGGATCATGAACGAGGCCCTCAGAGAAGAAGATCATTCCATGAGGAAAATTGTGCTGCGAAAGCCAAGAAACCACACGCTGTTTCTGCATATCAGGGCGGCCTGTGATGTAGATGATCAGATATCCCAGGTCCTGCCAGTGCCTGCATATAAATGCATAGCATTGGTCACACTTCAGTGGTATTCATTTTGATCAGCCGTGGCACATTTATGAAAAGGACATACTTCAACTCTTAAAGCATCTGGTATGCACACAAACACACACACTTACTGTACATCTGAATTCTTTTAATCCTCCTCAATCTTTTGTGAATCTCTTGAGATGAATAATTCATTCACACAAATACATGCATGCACAGACTCACCCAAACACATTCAGAGGCTGTTACCAGGTACCTGACAACATCAACAGCTCCAGGGCGGACTTTAGGGTCACTGCCCATGATTGACACACTGGCAGCAAAAGAGCCATCGATGCTGAAAACCACACACTCCATGCCCCATGGCAACACAGTCAGGTAGGCCTCTGCACTTGTTTGATCCCCCCTTGAAAGGAATAGAAAAAGGGAGCGAAGAGGCAGCATTTATACTGCACTCTGCCTACAAGCTCACACAATGATACAGAACACTTATATAGGGCTTAATTCAATAATTCCCTCCTTTTTTTGGCTATATCTTATTTGATGATGCAGCACTCTGTAACAGGCATGCTACATGGATGCTTACTTGACCACCATTTTAATCGGATAGACTCCCAGGCCGAGCTTCTTGATTTTGGGAATGGTATATGTGATTCTGCCGCTGCTGTTGGTTACCTCTGTGTCAAAGTGTACCCAGCGACCCGACTGGGGTTGTGTCATCAGCAGTATGTCCACCTAAGAGGGGCACGGTGGGTCAGTTGGCAGAGATTAATGTCAGTTAAAGCTGCATTAACTAACTTTTCCCTCAAAATTTTGACCATTAAGGGTGAAGTGAGAGCCAAAACAAACTCAAACAGTATCCCCTCCTCTTCACCCCACCTACCCAGTATCTGAAACTAAATCATACAGTATGTGGTCACGACAGCTGGAGACAGTTGTGGCAGTCAGGTAGTACAGCAGTAATAACTGGCTCCAGAACTAATGTATATGGAATATAAAGTCCATGGGGCCTGTGGTTTTCAGTGGGATTACAGCCACACACTGTCAAATAAAAAGGTTTAGTGACATGCATACGTATGTCTAACGTTGTTTGTAGAGGATGTATCTACAGTAACACAAGTAAATTATACAGAGGAATGTTTTTCCCAGTAATATTGATACAGTATTAATGTTCCAGCCATGATCACATCACGTTCAATGTTACAAACTTGACACACAAAATCATGAGTTGTACGTGAAACAAGAAATATTACATGTTACGGTTTGATAGTTGTGTTGATGGTGTACAGCAGGGAGAAGACACTTTTAGACAATTCTTTACTTTATTTATCCAGATTTGTGCTAAATCTTAGTTAATGCAGCTTTAATAGTTGATTCACATATATCAACAGTAAATAAATGTTTTTCACCTTCTCTCCAGTCAGAGTAACCATGTCTAAGGGGCCGTACATGAAGCGACCCACCAGAGTCTGGGGTCCATCCTCGGTAGCTATGACATCATTCACCCTGTGGTTGGCTGTGACGTTCTGTAGTTCATGACAAGAAGCATTACTATACATGCTTGACTCAGGACACTAGCACCACAGTTTTAACCCCTTATTATAACAATAATACACATTTGGTTTGTTTCACATGGATAGAAATCTCTGCATCCACACATAGTGATCCCAGTGCTAAGACCTAACTTCCATGCTCAAACTTAACATCTGTGACTTTGACACAGACACTCTAAGCTTACAAAACCCCTAGCATTGAACATAATGATGTATTTAAAGCTGCTATGATCAATATTTTTGATTCAAAAAGAATCTATGAAATTATTACTTGTTTGTGAATATATATATATATGTGTGTGTATCTACAGAGAATGATCACCAATTATTCCCAGTTCCCCTCTTTCAGTTCACTTGTTTGGTTTTATGGCCAGCAACTATATTGTCTTTTTTTTACTCTCACGAGTTTTATTGGCATAATTTCCAGCCACAGCAGGCAGCTGTATTCAATGAAAGAACTGATCATATGTTACCTGGCCAGCTGGTGCTTGTCTTTACATGACCGATACACAGTACAGCACTACACAACAAGGAAGAAAATGGCTAGCTAACATTTTGATGTGTTGTGTTTCCAGATTTCATTGTCCAGCCATATGCCTCTGAAGTATGCACAGTTGGACATTATAGAAAAAAACTACCAATAAAGCTTCCATGTTTAGTCCTTTCTTCCATATTACACCGTTCAGTAAGTACCTCTAAGTACTTACTAAGTGAAACGCTACCCCCTAAATGTCTTCTTCCACAGATGCTTGCATGTTAATAGGATATTTTAAGCACTCTAATTTATAATTCTCTGTTATGTGCCTCCATGACAGAAATTTTAATTTTCATGCTGACTTCTTTGCCATTTCTATAACTTCAGGTACATTTTGCTCAGCCTACCTGCTCTTGTTTAACACCCTGCTTTCTTCAACAATCTTCATCAGGATTTATACTTGTGATGAGCTGATAAAATGTTCCTTTTTGAAAAGTCACAACTTCACAAGTAAACAAAACCAGCATCAATAAATGTGAGGTGTTAATTCCACTGTTATATATTGCCATGATTTCATCAGGAACAAGAAGCTGCGATGACATTTTGTTTGCTTAAAAATGCTGTTTATTGACAGCACTCTCTGAAAGATAATGGAGCATGTGCACATATCAAATATTGCTAAGTGCTAATGTGCCCAACCACACTGTGGTGGCATTTTACTGTTTTACCACATCTGCTAATGATAATTGATTTAAAGGATGTGACATCTAACAGGGAAGTTGAACATTTCCAGCTGTTAGCCTGCATTAGGCTCGTCAACTATTAATTGTTTGACAGCACAAGGTCTCACTTACTGATCCAGTAATGGCAAGCATGTGGAGTAATGCATGTACACACATACATGCACAGAGTACATCAGTCTGTGAGTAATTTTAGGAGGCCTGATCATATTCAATATCCACTTAAATCTCCCTGACACAGTTCAATAACAACTCTGTGCATTCATATGTGAAAACATATGACACATGCGCCTCAGTATCACTATCCACTCAGACAGGGGACACAACATGTGCCTCAGTATCACTATCCACTCAGACAGTAGTGTGGAAGAATCCAGACCCCTGTCCGAGAAGGAGCAGCATGTAGAAGAAAGCAGAGCCAAACTAGTGGTCCCTCTCCAGCTGTGGCAAAGACCTCATACCAAGCAGAGGAAGTTCACAAATGGATGCCTGTCTGAATAGTATCACTCTGCAGCAGGTGAGCTGGCTGTTCTCAGAGCAGCTCTAAATCTCCACACACTTGATCATATTCAGGATGAGGCAACTTGTCAGAGCCTCTTTTCTTTAAGCACATCAGAAACATACCACTTGACCAAAGTGAGGCAAGAATAAGATGACACCGAAACATAGATGTTTCTATGGTTCAGTCACTGCCTTTAGAAGATGACACAAAGCTGCTGTTGGAGCGTTCAGTGGTTACCAGTGTGACCTTGACTGGTCTGCTCTGCTCAGAAACATCAAGTGATTCTGTGTGTCTGCCTACACCAGTGTTTTACGGTGGAAGTGTGGGAGTATTTTAAAAACTCAAATTTACACACCTTTCATGCAGACCAAAGTGCTAGAGAGCACTAAAGCCTCAGCTGTTAATACTAATGATTTTTTTAGAACACTGTAGCAGAAAAACACTTTCTACTGTGTGTGTTTGTGTGGATGGGTGTATTTATGAGAATGAAAGGCACCTCAGAGACAATATTCCAGAATGTATAATATCTTGTGCCCAAGCCAAAATGCTTTGTTAAAATATTTATGGATCTGTTGACATACAGTTTGACTAAAAATCAACTGAGCAACCAGAAATTCACATTTCCCATTTTTCTCGTGGGCTGGAGGGAGAGAATGGAGCCGAGTCCAAATGGTCTGCTTCCTGAGTCTTCACGCAGTCGCATCGCATGAGCTGTCAATAAATACACATGTATAGAAGAGCAGACATATGCCCACACAACTTGTTGAAATCATATCCTTCTTTCAGTAACAGTAATGACTCTAATTTGACATGAATATTTTCTGAACATTGCCAAAGAATAGACTAATAATAGAATAATAAAGTGGAAGGTTTACTATTTGAAGCCTTGAAATTACATCTGCAGTTATGTTGTTATGTTTAGGATCATAACAATTCTATTGGAAAGCATTTGTGACAAGAGCAATACTAACACAGATTAAGGGCTAAGGGTTGATTTGGAGTACTCAAAGAAAATAACTGCTCACTCCTTGAAAGAGGCCATGTATATCATTCCTGATTTAATCACTTAGTGGCTTGGACCTCAAGATGCTCCTTGTTTCTAACAAGTCAAAGACATTCGCTTAAATATGCTGAAGTGTTTTATTTAGCCCAATTTTAACTAATTGCTTCCTGTGCAGCTCTTAAATTCCATGGCAATCCTGTAATATGATTCGGCATTGAGTGGAGCTGAAAACCACTGAACCAAAATAATGATCTTCAGGTTTACTGGCTTCCTGATGCTTTCAATAGCACTTCTTAATTCCCCCTGGCTCTCCTTATTCTGCTCGTGTTTTCTCACAAAGAAGACAGAAAGGAGCAGACGATGGCAGGAAACACAGTCAAAATTCTAATCAACCGGAAAAAAAAGAGCCCCACACATTTAATTTGTGACTTTTGCAGATTATAGCGCAGTACAATGCCTCTGTCTTGACTATCACTCATCAAGGAAGGAAGAACATAACCTCATATAATATCTGTGGCTAAAATATTTGGGTAAATCTCGGTGTACATTGTTTATTTCTAATTGTTACAGTCAGTTCTGATGACTTGCTGACAAAATTCTTATCACATATTCAGTGTTACATGTGTAGAAGGAGCCCTAGCTAAGCAGCAACTTTCTACTGCACCATGTTGTTTGTGAAGCAAGATGGCATCACTAACTGAAAACAACTGTTCTGTAAGTAATAACATTTGGTTCAACAAAATGGAAAAGAGAAGAATTTAAAACTACCTTAAACTAAGGTTCCTACCTAAATAATTACAAAGGACACAGCACATGCAAAACGCATTAAAAAACAGCTTTTAGGGTGGCTGACCCATAGGGCAACATGTACAGCTTTATCTGACAAAAGGACTGGCATTAACATACTATGAACTTTGTAGCACAGTCCTTAATTGGGTCATGTCTTAACCAACATAGCAGGAACTACTTTGTGTTAAATGAAGTTTCCCAAGGGTCAACCCTTGGACCCCTTTCATTCAGTTTACATGCTCCCATTAGTTAAAATTAGGCACTTTTTGTCCTGGCAAAACAATTGTTCTGTTATTTTATTATCTCTGTCTGTTTCTCTCTTTTCATTTAGTCTGTTATTTGTCTCCATTTTATGTAATACACTTTAAATTTCTATGTGCATCAAATGTGCTATTAAAACTTGCCTTGCATGGTTGTGTCCTGTATATTACTCCATATTCTGTCTTAACTCCTGTATGGTAAGGCCAGTTCATAAAAAATATTCACAGTGGGACAGTTGATTCTGGCAATTATGTTGCCTGAGATACCAAAATAGGTTTCAAAATCCTATCATTATATAATTACAGTAACACACAGTGTGTAGTGTAGTGTTTCCAACTGAACATCCTTGTTCACTATCTTTATTTCCTACCTCCTACAGCTTTCTTGGTGGTGGTTTTGTTATTTTATACAGTATTATACCAATTGAAACATTTTAGCATATAATAAAGAGAAAATGAAAATGTAAAGAAGGTGTTAGATAATGTACTCTTCCTTTTCTGTGAAACCTGTTAGGGAAAAAGAGTAAAAGGGCTTTCAGATAGGACGCAGTATGCACTGCGCTTGCCCCAGGGGTTGGGCGCAGCACAGGGGAGGAAGGCGCACACATGCAAATGTTGCACATGGTGGACACCAGTTGCTAGGCAACCAAAAGGTTTTCTAGGAGGTGGTTAATTTAAAGCTCTGGCTTTAGTTGTATTGATGAGGAGGAGGAGCAAAAAAGAAGTGTGGGTCTGCCAAAGTCAGCTTCTCTTCCATTTTCTTTGTGGTCTGTCAGGTTCTCTGCAATTGGCCGCGCCGAGGTGTCATAGTAGAACTCTGCACCCAAGTTGAATTTTATTTAACTTCAGCACAGCGCTTAGGGGTGGTATGTGTGACCATGCACTGTGCTAAGCTCAGCACAGTGCAGATACGTTCTTGTGTTGCACAACACAGAAATGAATGGGTTTGATAGCTAAGCGTGGCGCCCACCATATCCTATCTGAAAGCCCCATAACACACTACTCTCCTACCTGTCGGAGAACAAAAGCTGCTACATCAGTAGACTCCCAGTAGGAGGCATGGAAAAGATGAGGCAGAGCCACTGTTGGGAAGGCAGTCAGTACATCAGGGCAGTACAGAGCATAGTCCAGCCTCTTGGAGCCCCACCAGATACTGGAAACTAAAGACCACCACCACATACAAACACACACACACACAGCATGTCATCAAGACAAGGAAGCTCCTCACAATGCACGGCGGGTTTCACCCCAAATCCAGCATCCTGAGACTGTACACTAAGCGGAAGGAAGGAGGCCGACCTGGCCAGTTTGGCCAAGACACCATGTCTTGGGGTTGTGGTGGGAGTAAGGGGCTTTGGCCATCATGCTCTTAGTTTTGTGTGTGTTGATAATAAAAAGTGGTGCTGTGGGGTTGTACAGTGTATGGGGCATACAGTTGCCCATGAAAAGGCTAATTCTGTCTCCAGCTCCTTCCTCAAGCTTAGCCTACGTTTCAATGCTTTAAGTACATTTTTCTCGTCATACTTTTGTACTTTTTTAAAGTTTTACTTACAGTAAAGGATACAAGTACTTCTTCAAGTACAGAATAAGGACCTCTGAGAATAACCTAAGAGCTCTGAAACCTTACAAACCTGAATTCATCTCCAATTCTACATTTACACTACTGAATAAATGAGACAGGACCGTCTTTCCTTTACCCTCCTTCCCTCCCACTCACTGTTAGTGATGGTGTTGCCCAGCTGGCCCATGGAGCAAACTGACGTTTCACTTTCCACACTGGTCACGCTGGCTCTGCGACCTCCTTCATCTACTCCTCCTGCCTCAGTCTTCGTCTCAGGGGACTGCTGTGAAACTGGGTCACCATGAGTTTGCTCACCTTCCAAAAACACGCTTGGATGTCCTTGGATACTTTCCGCTAGGGAGGGAGGAGGACAAGAAAAAATACAAGGACAAATGGAGAGGGAAGAAGGAGGGGTATGCTCTGATCACACAACAACAGACTGGCCTCAGTCTTTAAATAAATGCTATTATTTAGCCTAATAAGATAGACTCTTACTGTGCTTTATCAAGGAAAACCATAGTCAAGCACTAAAATGGAGTACAATGACAGGGACTGTTCTACTCTTGATGGGGTTGAATCAAAATGTATTGGCTTTGAAAATTCCGAAAAACATCTTGCTCTTGGCCTCTGCTGACAGGTAGAATAATTTATCAGGTTTGGTTCTTCTCTCCCACCGACACATCTCTATGCAACACTTTCCTATTTGTTCAGTATTTTTGCTGTATAATAAGAGAAGGAGAATTTTCTCTGGATAGCCAGTTTCACCAGACATCATGGATCTCCTTCCCATTCCTGAAAAGATGCAGAGTCTAGAACAAATGTGCTCGATCAGTAATTTAAGTCAAGTGTTTACTAGCTCAGTTCAATAGCTCATTTATATTAAACCTGGAATATGTTGTAAGGACAAAAGGAGACTCGGAAAGACTCAGGCCGAATATAATACAACTTCTACCTAACTGTACTGTCTCACATAGCTGAACAATACACCTGCATATACAGTATAGCCTGTCTCATTCTTTGCACTTCCACACCGTTTTCCTCTTCTGCCTGTATTAAGAGGCTCAAAAAGCTTTTTCAGCCAGACCCTATAGACCCTATTATCCTGTTACCTAGGCCTTGTATGTTGGTTCTATTATGACATAAGAGACTTGCCTCTGAATGAGCCTCTGCAGGTTCTACACAGTGTGCTAGAGATGAATGTTGACCTCAGACATGACCTTCAAACCAATATTAGTGTTTCTCCACCACTGCATTTTTGCCTGTGTTGGTTCTTGTTTACACGAGGACAGGGCTACGCTCCTCACACATAGCTGAGCAGAGACTGTGTGTGTGTGTGTGTGTGTGTCTGTAGTCTCTGCTCAGCTGAGCAGACACTGCAATGCTCATTAATCATGGGTGCAGTAATGGAGACTGAAGGTTTATCAAACAGATGTCGAACAAGCTGAACGCAAACTTGCAGAAATGTGTCATCTGCACCTACTTGCTGGAGGTCAACTCAAGTTCCCTCTTTATCTCTAAACCAGTGTGTGTCTGTTCACACACTGTGCATGTATCCCTATACTTCAGATGTGACAATGCCTTTTAGTCAATCACAGGTGACAGCCCTGAGAGCATCCACCCCTCCCCTGCCTATTCCTGAAACTTGACTGATTACTACCTCCTTGCCAAGATGTAGCTCCTGAAACCTATCTCGAAAGAAATCAGTGGAAACAAGAGCAGAACCCTTGTCAAGGGGTATAACTTCTGTTACAGGTCAGTAGGTTTCAAATGTCAAGATTCAAGGCCACTTCTTCTTTTGGACTTTTAGCAGGTTCAAGTCTCGTGCTCTTCACAAAGACTTTTCTGGCCTGTTTCCCTGTCTGGACCATTGACTGTGGTCTGGACTTAGCCCCAGCTCCCCTCATTAGTTTGCCTCATTGACTTTTGGTTTTTAGACAGTTTCTTTTCATCTAGTCAGTCTTCTGTTCCTTGCTCCCAGTTTGTGTTTCTGTACCTGCACTTGAGTTGCTTTCTGTATTTGTTCTTACATCTGCTGCTAGTAGGTCCGTGTTACTTTGTGTGTATTAGATAAAGTTAACTACACCTTTATCAAAAACTAAAGTCTTAAAGGTAGAAAGGGTGTCTGCCTAATAAATGCATTGTTGAGGCATTAATTGTCAACATCTATATCACTGTATCAGAGAGAAATTCTGAGGATTCTATTAAAAACTCTGAATAAGGGGCAGGTAGACAGTATACAATAACAAATCAAACTGGTTTTTGAGTTTTCCAGTTTTGGTGCGACAGAAGTGAAGCTTTTGAATGAGTTATAACTATGAATCTTAGTTTTTGCTTTGCTGTGTTTTTCCATCCAGCATTAGTTTTATGTTTCCTGTGCAGCCTTTGTCATTTGCTTTTCATTGCTGAGTCAGTTACATTTCCATTCAGCATATGTACCTGAATTTGTCAGTTTATGCCTGGTCCTGCTCCCCTGTAGTCATTCTATTGCTGTCACTGAAGTCTTGTTCTCTGGCCACTATATGTTTGTGTTTTGAGTGCATTTGGGTCCTCACTCAAGCCCTGGTATTCTACAGTGGAAACAGCCTACACACATTGCGAAACACATGGTATATTTCACCAAACGACTAAATGGGATGTAATCTGCTCATATGTTTGTCACAAACAAGATGACTCCACGTCTATATCATGCAATTTATTTGCTTCCATTATTGTAATATCAATGTCCTCCAACCTTTATGACCCATATGGTCATTTGTCCCTTCCCTCTCATACAACCCAGAAGAGCATCTCCTGAAATAGTGCTCCTCTGTTTGCAGGCAGAATTGCAAGAACTCCACCAACAGTAATGACAACATACATTGTACCAGCGAGTATTATGAACTTTCACCATAATACAGTCATAAACATGATTATGACAGTATGTGTACTGGAACTCCACTGTCATGGAAACTGTCATAAACATGCCATTAGGATTATGAAGTACTTGGTTAGGCTTAGGAACTAACCCTACTTGGCTCAATGAAAAAGATACTGCATTTGAACACTAGTCATTGGGGGAAAGTCCTGTGTTTTATATACAACACCAACCAATCCCAACCACCCATCTAATGCAGAATTTGTATGTATATACTATTTTGTATCTATATACCACATCACCCAACTTCTCCCTTTGTGCGTCATAATTATTACACTTTCTAGAGGTCGCCAAACTATTGTATAATGCGCTATTGCTGGTCATGATAGCTGGCACAAACATATACAGATTCATTTTTTACAGCAGGACAGTCTCTGCAATGTGTATCAATCCAGTGGGAAGCCTTTTAATAGGGAGCTGTATGGCTGAAGAGAGCTGAGATATAATGAGAGCCTGTTTGCCTGCTTGCAAGATATCAACCAGAATACATCATGCCTGGTTTGGTCTTTTATGAGAGAGGGTCCTGCTGCATTTTAGGAAAGAACAGATTCTCCAGTGAGTTTCCTTCAACACAATTTTCTGTTTAAATGAGTTCCACTCACACTAAACACAACATTAACATTACATATGTCACCTTCACTTGTGGATGGTGTGTGTGCCTATCTGCATTCGATATCTGTAACTGGTGATCAGTTTGCACGTGCACGTATTAAATTTAGCCTCCAGAATAGTCTGTTTTGCTTCACAAAGCAGCCAGTTATTAACTCTATCTCCATGGACTGCTGGAATGGCTATAAATAAACTGTCAGATGCAGCCACGTCTTTTGTCTGTGAGGGATCAGCATCTGCACCAGAATACAGATGAACAGCCTTACTTTCAGACATGAGGGAAAATCAGGTATGGTTAGTGAATCCCCACAAAGAACAATCCACATCTGAATGATGAATGGAATGGAATCTGGCACATGCTGCATCCATATCAGTGATGGTAGATTGGATGGCTTTCCATCTAATAGGGCTGCTTTTGAGGAGCAGAAAATATTTTGTTGATTGGGAAAATCCAAATTGCTGGTTTTACGGTTGTTTAGGGTGGTTTAATTTAAGTTAGGTTAAAACCCTGACTTTTGTTTTGATTGCTTTGCATTTATTTATTTAACCACAAAACAAGGAATAACAGCATAATTTTTAACTTAAATGTTACGTTCATTCTCAGTTAATCATTTAAAATGCGAAAATATTTGGCAGTGCCATCCTAGTCAATATAAGGATTTGTTTGTAATTTTACTGCAAAGTATGGACTTGGCAAAACAATTGGTCTGAAGCACTGTTGAGCTGCAACGATTAGACAACTGACAGCAAATCAACCTGCAACTATTTCATTCATTTCAGTTAAATTCAGTTTTATTTGTGTAGCACCAATTAACAACAAAAATCATATCAGGGCACTTTACATAGTAAGCTCTAGATCGTACACTAATAGAGTGAGAAGCTCAACAAATCTCCAATGAGCAAGTACCTGGCGACAGTGCAGTAACAAGTTTAATTACTCTAGTAAAATGGAAATAATTTGATTGTTTCAGCTGCTAAAATGCAAACATTTTCTTGCCTTAACCTAATTGCAAGCTGAACATCTTTGGAATTTGGACTGTTGATGGAACAAAACATTTCAGCACATAATGTTTGGCTGATAGGTTTGTTTTAACTACAGTTATGAGAACAATTATTAGGTAATTCATAATAGGTGCAACACTGTCACTTTATAACAAGAAGGTTCTGGGTTCATTCCCTGACCGGGGGCCTTTCTATGTGCATGTTCTCCCTGTGCCTGCGTGGGTTCTCTCTGGGTATTCCGGCTTCATCCCACAGACCAAAGACATACAGCTTAGGTTGACTGGTGACTCTAAATTGCCAGTAGGAGTGTAAGTGTGAGTGTGTGTGGTTGTCGGTCTACATGTCAGCCCTGTGATAGACTGGTGATCTGTCCAGGGTGGACCCCTTGCCCAATGTCAGCTGGGATTGGCTCCATCCCCCTGTGACCCTCTACAGGATAAGTGGTATAGATAATGGATGGATAATAGGTGCTGTCTTTAGTCGGTAAGAGAATGTAAGCAAATCCCAATGATAAAAGGTATTAAATTAAATTAAAAAAAATTAAAAATGCAAGAAAATAATGGCTAGGTTCAATCCCTTGGGTATTACTTTGGGTTCTCAAAGTGTGATACATTATTTTTTTACTATTTTGACATTTTATATAATAATTACTGGAATTAAAGCAATTAATAGAACACTTGTAGATATTTGAAATCTGACTGCATTTCTTTACTCTGATTAATTGATTGAACTCCTAACTTTTGTGGACACGTGTGAATAGCAGAAATAAGCTGTGAACACAACACTGACATGTCATTTTAATTTGATATGGCAAACCGTTATCGAACGG